GCCAGAAAATCAGAAATCTTTTCCTAATTCCTTGGTGCATTTGTTTGCAACCACCATCTGCTTTGGTGCAGCCCTGTCCCTCAGTTTAATAAAATGGCGATAACATCACCTTAAGGGTTTTTTTTGTTTGTTTTCAAACTGTACCATAAATTTGTCATCACAGACTGAGGACAGAAAATTGTTGTGGGATTCAGGCTCCTTGGAAAATCCCAGACTCAGGGCTGGGTTATCATCTCACTTATTTGTGAACAAAGTCACTTCATTCCAAAGCCAAAGGAGAAAGGAAAAGGCAGACCCCTCCAGCAGGTTTTTTCAGTCTACCTAGGATCCTACTTCCCCTCTGGAAATACTTGCCTTTCCATTCCTAAGCAAGGTACCTTGGCGAGGAGCCTGAAAGTGAGCAAGGTGAAGCTGTGAACCATCACTAGTACGCAGCAAAGATGCACTGAAATTCCTGTGAATTACATATTTGTCACTGACTTATTAACGTCATGGACTTATTAATATTATTGACTTATTTCCTTGTAATTTGACCCAAATTCCCTTTCCTTCCCTTGTTTTCCTGTGTTAATCATCAGAAATGTCTAGTTAAATTGTTATATATTTACGTCTCATTTTTGCAGTTTTAGGTCTGTTTTGGTGGTTTTTTGATTGTTTTAGTTTTCCCCCCCATGTCTCAGGATTACAGGTTGTTACAAAAATTTTTTTAAATGGGAGCTTTGCTTATTCCAAGGCTGGTATTTGCCTGTTAGAGGAACAACTTCTCCTTCTCTGGAGATATTCAAAGCCCGCCTGGATGAAGTCCTGTGTAGAATGCTCTAGGAGAGCCTGCTCTAGCAGGGGGGTTGGACTAGATGATCTCCCGAGGTCCCTTCCAACCCTTGCGATTCTGTGTGATTCTGTGTGTGAAGTGAGCAGAAACTGTGCCGACCAGGGTCCAGCCTCCTCCTGTAACATCACATTAACTGATACAGGACATGTAGCATACGTCCATCCTACTTGTGAAAGTCTGTTCTGGAAAAAATGTAGATGGTGTTTCCAAACACGGTGCACAACATATGATTAGCCCATCCCATACAGCACCACTACGGGGGTGTTCACAGTGTTTCATTTTATCTAACAAAGGCAAATCTCCTTAGGTCCCCCCTGCAGGCATTGGAAAGTGCTAGCTTCCTCTGGAGGGCCATTTAAGGAAGGTAAATTAAGCTCTTGCAGTGATTGCCTCCTGCCCCAAGTGGAGCACAGAGAGATTACTCCTGTTTTAGTAGGATATATCTCATAAATTTCTCCCCTGTAGCTCTCCTATGTCTAAATGACTGATTTTCTGAGGACAATCAGCCTTTAAGAGGCATCAAGTAGTGAAGGGTGTCTGCACTAAGATCCTGAGAAATATCAGATACATGTGCAAGTTCTGTTACTTTGATTAGGCCATTGTCAAGGTGTTCAGCACACTCCCTCCACCCCTTCCAAATTTCACAAATCCCTCCACCCCTTCCAAATTTCACAAATCCCTCCATCCCTTCCAAATCCCACCACAAAGTAGCTTAAGACATGGAGGTGCTTTCCTATGTAAAATTGTATTTTGTAACCCAGAAACATGGTCAGACTTTGTGCTTCTAAAATTAACAGGTGTCCCAGCAGGGTGTGTTCTTGGTTTCGGTTCAGTTTTTCACCTGATTTTTTAATTCTTTTCTCCTCATCTTCACATGTGTCACAGCTATAGGAAAGCTATGGCACATTGGACTTTTGAGTGGTTAGGAGCTGAATTTCAATTGATGCAAACTGGTGTTGGCCCAGTGGCTATTTCTTATGGACTTCCGCAGAACGTATAAATATTTTTTTAGGCAAAACCAAGCTGGTTAACTATGCACCATGTAGTCATGCTTGTCAACAACTAGGCAACTAAGAATTTGTCACCTTGGGTGAATGATAAGTTATTCTGGCTGATGCTTCCTGTCTGCATGAAAGATGTATTAACTCTTTTGATTTCTCTGCCTTGTGCCCTGTAGTTTCCATATGCATGGAAGCAATATACACAGTGCTGGAAATCAGAGCAGGGCTTGTAGTTGCCAACTAAGCAGCACTGTCCTAACATGCAAACAGAGAAAGCAAGCACTACCCTGTCCTACAGAGCCAATCTAGCCCATAGTTCTGCCACTTGTCAGCTATTCCTCAGTTCTAACCAGATAACATCAAATGTCTCTCTACTGCTACTCCTATAAAATACGTAGAATGACCAATTACTGATTTGTGGGTCAGCCTCAATGTCTGGCTGGAAAGATGTCGGGACCAGCCCTGGAGTTTGGGACATCTATTCTTTTTAAACAGAAGTGTGATGCCGATTGACAGTGATAGCACTTGTGGAGATGTAGTAGGAGGGTTTTCCTTGTAAACTCACCTAGGACCTCATTATTATCAGGTGGCAGGTTGAAATCTTTCTGCCATGTTTCATTCACAAGAAACACCCTGTTACTCAGGCATACCTATTTGAGGTAGACCCTGGGTAGAACTGTCACGATCCACTATTGGGTTGAACAATTTGGCAGAGGTTAAACCCCCTTGCTTTCCAACCGACCTCAGATAATTCTGGGAGGTTGGGGGCGGCTGGGCTTAACTTCTGATTAATTCCAATATTCTATCGTGACTAGGTTCCTTTTACATTCTCGGAAACAGAATTAAGGCTCAAAACGGAGTCAAGTGCCAAGTCACTTTATTCGGCCAACAATAAACGCGCGGGAGAAAATCAGAGAAAGAGAGGAAAAGTGAGGAAGGGAAACTCTGCCAGTTCCCCTTTTATAGGGTTGTCTTCTTGCATAGTCGATGACTCTTTTGCATACCCACGCCTCCCACTCGGCAGTGGGGCGCATGCCCAGTACCGTCATTAAGAGTATGCTCGAAAGTTCTAGGGGGTCCGAGCCCCCTCCCCATTGTCAGTTAACTCTGGGCCCGGGCGCATGCGCAGAGGATGTGTATTCCAAGATAACAGGCCACACAGTCCTGTGGGGTGGGACCCAGTGGGCTGAAACTGCCCCACTCAGTTGCCGTGGTGATTAGGCTTTGGTGGTTAAGCTTGCCTGCCACCAATGTTGATACAAGTTTCTAGTCCCTTACAAGAACCACTCACATGGCAAAAATTCTGCTCACTGCAGTGGACTAGTGTGCCATTCATGTTTCTTTTCATCATTTTTGGTAATTCAGCACCATTTTTTTTTCTACTGAAAAGAAAAATCTGACACTCCCAGAAATGCCTTCAGATCGATGCGATACTGGGAGCAAACTCTTCAAGGCTGTCATACTGATGTGTGCATGTGCATGTAGATGCAACTCTTCTAAGGGTCTGTAGAAGAAAAATTTTATATGTCTTCACAGACAGAGGCCCTGAATGCAAGGAAGGCATTCGAGCAGAGGTCAGTGATGCCAAACAAGGTCCACAGTATGAAAATCTTAATAAAAATCATTTGAGAAGCATTGAACCTAGCCAATAAAATTATCAATCTATAAAAGTGCCAGCCATGTAGTTTTTCTCTTGTGTACTACAGCATGTATGTTCTAAAATGAAAGAAATGGAAAACCATCTCTCCTGGGTGTAATACAAGACTTTTCACAGGTTTCCAAGTGTTAAACTGAAGTTTGTTTATTCCAGGGTTCTGTTGGTTTGCGGCTTCTTTGCTCTTTTGTTTTGAAGTTATCAGAAATGCATAATTACATTAAGAGACTTACAACACTTTCACTTAAAAATGGCAAAACCTGAACACAACCACTTTCCAGTTTATCTGCAAACCTTCATTTCTTTACACATCTCAAAAGTGGCCAGTCTGATTAGTGGTTTTTCCTTCAAAAATGAAACAATTAATTACTTAAACCTGTGACATGTCTTAATCCAAGTCCTCATGCCATCAGTTGAAGAATTTCCATTCATTTTATTAAGGATTAGAGAAACCCCTGGAACCTTATTCTCAAATTTCTATCTGTGGTTCAATTCCTCCTGTCCATTTTCATATACTCCATAGTGTAATATCTACTCAAATACACACAGAAACAGACCAAGTGCACATCCTATTCCACTGTGGGCAGGAATTACTGGGTGCACATCTCTTAGGGGGCGAGCTCGTTGAGATTTCTAAGATTTCTGCTGGAAACACAAACCCTTATTTGCAGGCTTTTTGCCATAGGTGTCTTGCTTTCTAAACACAGCTCTGGGGTCAAAGTTAATACTTGCCTTTGATGGAAGTGGGGAGATGCCAGCTGCAATGTGTAGCTGATAATCTTTATTTTCTAGTCTCATTTTGATTCCTCATGGTTCCTCCAGCTTCCCCCCATGCCAGACCTAGCAATCTAAGGTGAGGTTCTTCTCCCCTAATTTTAGGTACCAGCAATGAGTCTCAATCTGAGCCATCTGTACAGACGCCCCTTACAGCTTCAAAATGTGATCCAGGAGTTTTGGTTGTGATTCATCTGATATGATAAGTGGCAGGCAGTTACTGTAGAGTGGGATGAATTGCACAGTATGGACTTGCTCTCTGTTGACTGTCATAGTGTCCAAGGTGTCTTGCTCAAGTACAGACACCTGGGGATGCTCAATAACCCACATGTACTCAGATGAATCTTATCCCTGAGCTCTAATAATGAGACACTTTCAGGTACAATCTACTATGTCCCTTCTGTAATTTAGCTCTAATCTAGTAAATTCACCAGCCTTGAGCTGATTTCCTTTGAATTCCCTATCAGACTTCCCATTGGTTTTAGTGTGAATGGGATGAGCTGTAAGCTCCATCCTGTCTAGGAACATGTGAAGAGCTGTCAGTTATACTGCCTCTGACTGATGGGTTGTGTTCATCAAAATGGGTGGCATTCCTATTTCCCTGTAGTACTACAGCTTGCAACAAAAAGAGGCTGCTCATCTCTTTATGCTCATGAGTAAATTCCTGAATTGCTGTTGGTATAAAATCTTTGGTTTATGTTTGTACCCTGTAATTATCTTCTATTATCTTAATTCGCAGATAGTATTGAAGCCAACATCGAGACTGCATCTTCTAATGTAGAATCAGCCAATGACCAGTTGGCAAAAGCCAGTCAACACCAAGTAAGTGGGACTAAAAAACCCGATGGGTACATTCAGTAATAGTATTTAAAATAAAGAGAACACTTGGTGGCTGTGAACCACATGGCACGTGGGCTACATTGGATTTGTGCTACCTGGAAAGACGATAAAGCACAGACTAAGTAAGAGCTAAATGTTTTTCTTGTATATATGATTAAATTACCGTAGCATCGACAATTTGCATTAGAGTAGTCATTAAGAGGTCTGCATATTAAAGAGACATTTCCCAGTAGGAAACTCAACAATTAGCTACTGTTGTTCTTGGAAAGACGTCATAAAAAGTGCATCATTTAAGTGTATATGTACTTCTTATAGGAGTGTTTCCCTATAATCATGCAACCGCGCTTTTCAAAAACAACTGAGTTGTCAAAAGACATGATGTGGTTGGTCAATAATGGCTATGGGAATGGTGTTCAGCACTCTTTAAAGGCAATTTGAAGGTAGTGTTTTTGGTGGGGTTTTGTTTCTTTGTCTACATTGGAGCAAGAATAACACACACACACACACACACACACACACACACACACACAAAAGCATTATTGTTTTTGAAAACACTTGACCAGAAAGAACTGTTTGATGGTTATAGTTAGTACTTTCTAGGGATGAAGGGGGAGTGGGGAAATGAACAAAGAAAAAATTGTTATTGCTTGCATCGTATTGACAAAACAAAAGCTGTTAGTTTCCCTTTTTCTTCAATCATAAATTGGTTTCTTGAAGTCCAAAGTAAGTTTCATGTATCTGGAGTCTTATGTAGCTGAGGTCCATGCAAGTACATAGTTCCTCCGTGCTGGTCCTTGAAGACATGGAATTCTGAAGGTCTGGGGCAAACCTCCAGATCAAAGGAGTAAGAGCTACAGGCATTTTACTCCACTGAAAAGGAAAATGTGATTTTAACATTAGCTACAGCTCATTTTCTGGTGAAAAACACTTTACCAATTGTGGGTAATAAGAACAACTTTCATGGAACTTTGAAACTGTAGAATGCAGAAACTGTGTGGTCTTCACTACGTTCTGGTTTTAAAAGCATATATATTCAAGATATATTCAAGATAATCTGTGTCACCCTGCATTTAATCCTACATTTGCCTTGAAAATAACCTGTTGCATTTTTACAGCATGATGTCTAAAATGAGAGAAGAATAAATTTAATACTTGACAGTAGAGCTGATCGCAAAGCTGCAAATGAGTTAATGACAATTTTGGCTAAGAAGGTCAAAGAGTAGTCAGGCAGAAAATGAACTAGCACGGTGTAAAGGATCTGCTTTCTTCAGCTAGCAGGAACTACTGAAATAGCCTGCCCAATCAGGAGGTCCTCTATTCCTCAAATATGTTGATCAAGATGAAGATATAGCCAGTTTTAGGAAGTCAACCACTGCTAAGGACATAAATGTCTACTGACTGGTATTAACGGGCAAACAAGTCAGTGTCCCTTGCCCGTGAAACAAGCCTGTATCGACAGATATTGCTTAGAAAAATTTTGCTGCCAAAGAAAATGTGCAATACGGATCTCCTGTAGAGGAGGACATCCTCCTGGATGAGAATCAGTAGACAAATGCATGCAACCCCAGCTTGCTTTCTTGCCTCTTTCATGAGGTTTCCTGAGATATAGACAGAAAATGAGGTGACATTTTTGTGACTTTGATTGCTGTCTTGGGTTTGTCAAATGGCATGTGTTGCCTCCTCTGTTACGTGCCGTGATATCTGTTCATTTTACAGCCAAAAGAACATTGTCTCCGTAATATGACAAGAAGGGTCCTGGTCACACAGCCCTCAAGGGCTTTTGTAGGCAGCAATGTTGGTGCCACTTGCATGCAGTGCAAGTATAGGTCATCCTTCCATGTTTTATGTGGGGTTTTGGCTTCTTTAGAAATACCTAGGATGGATTTGGGAGAATGATCAACCAGATAGCTTTGTGGGTGAACTGCTTTCCAGGGAGCTGCCACAGTTTTACACACTTTGAATTCCCTCTCTGTTCTTCTGTGCTAGTCAGAGATCAAAAGTGCAGGCTGTTTTTTTAAGACTCACTGAGTAGTTTTCTTTCTTTTGTTAAACTGCCGATTCATTAATATATTTGGCTGTTAGCTGTGTCCTCTGGTACAGTGTGATTGTCCTGTAAACACAGACTGGTTTACATACATTTGATATTTATTCCTAGTTTTCTGTATATATGTATATAAACATGTGTATGTATGCAGTATTTTTATGAGTATATCAACAAATGTATACACAAATTGAGAAATCTGAAATGCCAACATCACTGAAACAATCAAGCTTAAGACCTACTGTAGACCTTAATGACCAGATTTCTGTAAGGAATAAAGATTGAATTTCACATAACGTTTGCATATAATGCAATGCAGCCACTTTAACAATACAACTTGGAGCACCAGTCCCAACCTGCACATTAACATAACAAAGCATCAGTAAATAGCTTTTCTTTAACTAGGACAAAATAAGGCATTTACGTTCTCTGAAATGGTAGAAATGTTTAAACAAATGTAAATACCTTGCTGCTGAGCTCCTTTGTCTGCATTTTAAATTTTGTAAGGTGCTCCTTCATCTTGAGATGTGCGTGCTAACAGTAGTGCTTTATTAATGTGTGTGAATTATCATGTCCCCCATCTGAACTCTTCAGCCACCCACAAAAAAAACCCAACAGAACTCTCCCACAGAAAACTGTAAAACAGCAACAAAGAACATATGAGGGCCTTTCAATACCTAAAGGGGGCCTATAGGAAAGATAGGGAGAATCTTTTTAGTAGGGCCAGCTGTGACAAGACAAGGGGTAATGGTTTTAAACTAAAATAGGGTAGGTTTAGACTAGATATAAGGAAGAAATTCTTTACACTGAGGGTGGTGAAACCCTGGAACAGGTTGCCCAGAGAGGTGGTGGAGGCCACATCCCTGGAAGCATTCAGGGCCAGGTTGGACGGGGCTCTGAGCAACCTGATCTGGTTAGCGATGTCCCTGCTCCTGCAGGGGGGTTGGACTAGATGACCTCTAGGGGTCCCTTACAACCCAAAACATTCTATGATTCTATGAAACATATGGTAAGTAAGGTAGTGGTGGCCAACATTCAGGCTGGACAAGGCTGTGGGGTGGTGGCTCAGTGCAGCCCACAGGCAGCCCCTGCTCTCAGTCCGGGGAAGGGAGCAATAGGTGGCTATGCAAATGATTCTGCTTCCCTCCTCTCTGCTCCCTGCCATCTCCTACCCCATGGGCCTGCACATTTTCCCCCTTTTCAATGGACGTGTACATGCAGGCTGCATTACACAGTAGGTGTAACTCTTCGCTGGTCACTGTGCAGAGGTGTGATACCAAATTGCAACCCTTGTGTGTCTCCATCTGACATGAGGCAGCTCGTCTCAGCGAAAGGGTTGGGCACCGTTGTTATAAGATGCAGGATCAGACAGCTCAGGAAAGTAGATGGTCTCAATTTATCATTGCGCTCTTGATCTTAGATGCTACAGGAAGTCCCCGAGTCCATGCTGGGTACTGTAATTGGCAGCCACATTATTGCCTGTAGTCCCTCTTCTCTCAGCTGTAGACTTCACTCCCTGACAGTAACACTCCCCTGCTTTGCCAAGAAAATTCATTAAGGCCTCTGTGGCTGTCAGATATTACAGAGACTCTATGGGCCATATAGAAAAACAGCAACATCCATTATGCCTATCTATGATGTATAAAAAGTTTATCTTATGTCTTATTCACTTTATTTCCATAATGTTTTTCCTACCATTATAAATCATTGTATATGTTCTGATTTTAGCAACGCTTGATTTATATTGGGTGAGAGGTACTTGCTATATCTGTGCTGCCGTAGAGGACATGGTAGATGAACTTGTAATTAATCACAAGCAAAAAAGGTATTACATCCCAGAGGCATAAAAGGTTTAGTGGGAGCTGTCAGAGCTTTGGAAGAAATACTTTTTTTTTTTTTTTAATTATTAACAGGTTTTTTTTTCCCCTCATTTTAAATTATTAGTATTACAGAATAATTATTTGAGCTTATACTTATTTTTACTACAGGTAAGGCCCAGTTAAGCTGGGTCACTACATTATCTGTAGCAAGATGCAGGATCAAAATACAGATGAAAGTGTAAGTAAGTGTTGGATATTGATACAAGGAGTACATGAACAGTGGCCTGTTTCCATATGAACCCCTCTTTGTCATAGAAAATTGAAAATTTTACTTTGTTGTCTTAATTTTCACTAGAAAATTCAAGTTTAAAAATCAACTGAGAAGCAAACAAGTCTGACAGAGAGAAGCCAGGAGTAATCTCCTGCAGTAGGCTTGCTTCAGTGCCTTTCTTTTCTGTGAGGGTCTCATATCTCTTGGACTCAAAGCAGAAATGAAAACCCTTGCCATTTAATACCAGTGGACCAGATTTGCCTCCTGAAATGTCACTGGCCATGCCCCTAGAGAAAGTTATTTATCCCACCTGTCTTAAAACACCAACTTTAACATGGGTCAAATTGCTCTCTGGAAGATAGGGATTTATTGGACCAAACAGGGGTGGTGGAGTCATGTATGTCTGAGTTAAGTGTCTGAACTCCCTTTACACTGACTGAGATGAGGAATTGCTTCCAGCACACGGCTTGTCTCATCTTACAGGAGATGCCTAACACAGGTCTGATGACGGCCTCTCTGGAGATGCCTGTTCCCTCCTCCTTTGTCTACAAAGTCCAGATGATAGCAATTACATTGCAAACATTTCAAGGGAAAATTAATCCCATGCTTCATCAGAAAAAAGGGGAGATGTAGACACCGGATGATCTTGGTATCTGCCTTTGAGATGGGCTTAGGTGGGCTGAACATCACACGGAGGGGCTGGCTTTGATGAGATTTACTTTTCTCAGTTTGTCCATAGCTTCCTGCAGATGGATTGAGAGGAAGAAAAAGAAACAAACGCAGACTCCACGGATACATATTAAACCAGTTACTCTTTTTGACGCGAAGTTTGGCCTAAGTTCAGCTTGGC